AAGAAAAGTGACTTTAATATTACGTCACGATATGACTTTAATATTACATAAGATGTACGTAATATGTAAGTCATTTAATTACATCATATAAAAGTCACGTTTTGGGTCAGTATTATGTCACTATGACGTAAAAATTGTATTACCTAGATATGATCTACGTGTTACGTAAATTTTAGGTCATAAGTCACGGTTTGGTTCACTGGGGATTGATTAGTTGGTTGATACTGATATTAACGTTAATATTGATTAATTGATTGATTGGTTGATATTGGTATTGATTATTTGTATTATTTGGTATTAGTATTGGTATTGACTAATGGATATTTATATTGAATTTATATAGATACTAATTTAACAGGAAACCAGGCAACAATTGACCATTGCAGAGGGCAGCGTGCGTGTGAGAAGGGAAATCAAGTGGGTGCGTCGCAATATTATATTATTGTATTATATATATTATATAATATACACATAAGCTCACGCAAGCAAAGCTTGGAGGATGGAGAAAGTAAATGGGCAAAGCCCCCACGTGAAAATGAAGTGGTAGGCCATCTATTGAGGCATGCGTTGCACGCCTGACATAGGGGCCGGGTTTCAAATATTGATGCGATACACCACAGGGCCGGCTTTATCTATTTTGTATATTAATATTTTTTTTTAAATTAATTTGAAAAAAAAAAATAAGTAAGAAGGCAAAGATATAAATAAATGAAAACGGTATGAACACTAATATAGCAATAAAATAAATAAAGAATATACAAGGTTGGTAGCCGGAGTAAGCAAAAAACTAACATACCCACCCCCATTCACGAATACCAATTGAATGGGGATACTACTAAGGCCTAGGTTGAGGAGGATTCCGGATTGTACTTAGTTTTGGGTCAGTTCAATGTCCTCCAAAAACCCTTCCTAAACTGGACGTATGGCCCGACCCGGCTGACAAAAATCCCGGGAGCTGCCTTAACCTTTGACACTGTCATCCACGAACTCCTAGGGTGGATCTACCAGCCGGCGTAAAAACTTCGGATCCAACAAACACAGGTAATGCTGTGATTTGGCGGGATACGCAGGAGAACGGAAAGGGGGTAATATAACCCCGGGAGATCAGTGGATGATAATATATCTGGGGCTTGCCATACGTTCCCATACTCATACTCATACTCATACTCAAATGCGCTTCATCAATATTTAAGTATAAACAAATTATTTATTTAGTAATGTTTATAAATAAAAAAATCTTAATATTTATTATTTTTTTATTTAATTATTATAATACCGTCTATTACCAACAATATTTCTATTTATTAAAAAGTAAACAACCATTTACAAACAATATTAAAATAATTTATTATTTACATTACCACGTGGTACTGTACAGTAAAAAATGGCCGATAAGAAGCATTTTCCTTTGAAGTAGTTTTCGCTACTTTAAAGTTTTTTCCACTTTACGGTTGTTTTGGTTAGTACCATAAACGTTCCAAATACTAAAATAATAACTTTTAAGTTATTAACTTTGTAGTTTTTAACTCATGTTCCAGTTTCGAGATTTTAACTTGCAAAGGGACTACAAAGTAAAAATAATTATAATGTAATCTTTAGGTAGCAACCGAAAGTAACTGCTACAAAGTAAATTTACTTGAAAGTTTTTTTTACTTATAACATCTTTTTTAAAGTTGCTAAGTCTTCTTGGGGGCAACCAAGTTTTACTTAAATGTTTATTACTTTATAGTAACAATTTAAGGAAAAATTAAGTTTCTGTTACAAAATATTGCTATTTAAAAGTTAGAATTACTTTTAAGTAAAAATTAAAGTAGCTGTTTAGTATACTTAACTAATTTAAAGTTATCACCACTTTGGCAATGGTTTTTGGAACCAAAAATGCTGCTTATAAGTACCTACTAATTATTTTTTTATGTTTAATTATACTACCTTCAATCTAACCAAGAGCACTTATAAGTGAGAAATATTAAATACAGTGCACTTATAAGTGAGAAATATTAAATACAGTGTATACACTGTATTTAATATTTCTCACTAACACACTAATTTAAATTAAAAATTAGAAAAATGCGACGATAACCACTTGTCGTTGCAATACGTAGACCATAGAACATAAGCTGACCCGGCTCGACTGTGTCGAGTCAAGATACATACCTACACCTTAAGATAGGATGGTGCGCATGTTGGGCGGGGCTTAATGAAGTCACTTGATGAGTGTTTTTAAATCTTTAACGTGCTTTTTAATTATCTACTGCTAAAATTCTTGTTTTCGCGATGCTTTTGGATGTTAACTTGCTCTACTTTTTGTTTAACTTGTCGTTTTTGTGTTCGGTAAGGTTCGAATTACTTTTCAGCGTTCAAATTATTGTTATTGCATTAGGTTAACCTGTTAGGTTTGTTTATTATTGTTTTTGTGTTGCGTTAACTTGTTTTGTTTGTGTTTTAGATTGTATAGTGCCATTTGCATTTATTAAAATGCGGTGTGGCATATTTGGATGCAATTCGGACAACCAGTCCAAGAAAAACCCTTTAAATAAAAACATTAAATTTAATCGATTCCCGAAAAACTTGATTTGTGGAAACAGTGTTTAAATGCCACAAAAATAATAGACAATATTTACGTTAAGACCGCTTCTGTTTCCTATAAACATTTTCTGGACAGTGACTATAAGTTTATAAACTAATTATAAATTATAATTTAAAACACCAACGCTTAAACTACAGCCCTAAATGTTATCAAGGACTGAAAGCATTTATTATCCATATTATAATACTTTCTTTAATATTAAGTTTAATAAAAACGCACCATGTCCAGAAATTTCTCTATTTTCTTTGATAATATTACTATTATTCGTGTATTCGCACGGCAACTACTCATCAAGTGACGTCATGCGCGGGACGAACCAAAACTCGTACACGGGAGCATCCAGCCCTGGTGTCGAGTCGACTCCCCCTCCTAGTGTTTGATTGACTTAACGCTTAATATGTTTTAAGTTGAAATTAAAAAAAAAACTTAAAACCATAAGAATAAAAAACAATATTGACATAATAATTATGGAACACTTTAAATGTTTTTATATTATTACCAAAGATCACAACAGTTGTTAATGTCTCATTAGGAAATCGGAATATACTCGTACAATATAGGCCTATTATTTATAGACACGTGTTAGACACAATTGTATCATTATTATTATTATCACTACTTACTTTTAGCAAAAGCTTTTATAAAATTTAACATTTAATGTTAAACAGCACTATTTTTAAGAAATTATTCAACAACCAAAACACGTCAATTTTGTACCTTAAAGACGTATTAAAGATGTCTTTAAGAATCGTCTTAACCACGTTAAGGGAGTTTTTTTACGTCTAACTAACACGTTAACGTGTTAGTTAAAATTTTAATTACGTACAAAGTAACGTCACTGGTACGTACAAAGTAACGTCATTATTCGTTAATTGGACACGTCAAAAAGACGTACCAAAATGACGTCGGAGCGCTGTGACATTTTACCGTCGCCCAAACGTCAATAATACGTCATGGTGCATGGTAAATGACGAATCGGGTGCCGAAAAAATGACGTTTAAATGACATACTGTCAGCTGGGTAATAACAGTTGAGTAATCCCTCGGGACGTTTACGAGATTTTGTGGATATGTTGGATAACTCCGATTATATGGCAATTTTTCAAAAATTCCCGTTATTCTCCACTTAATTTCCAAAAATGAGCAAACTACGGCTTCCAGTTTATGTACGTTGCGTACGTGCCCGGACAACATTCGTGATATTCATACGAACATCATGTCGTGATTTTCACAAATTTTATTCATACTGATATCATAAGGAAGTCACCGCGTGATAAATGAAAATCATACGAACGTTACGTCGTGATTTTCACAAATTTTATTCATACGGACATCATCCGGATGTCACTGCGTGAGAAAAGAAAATCATGTCGTGATTTTTTATGTCATCGCTGTTTGCGATTGACCGATGGCACAAAAAATCATGTCGTAATATTTTTTTCGATTTAAATTAATAGTTAATTTAAATCCAAGAAAATATTAAATGTATTTAACCGCAAAAACTGTTGATTCAACATAATTTTTCTCTTACTGTACGAACGTGGCGCAAAAATGATTATCCAAACACCGTTGGCATAAAAAATCACGACATGATTTTTATTTCTCACGCAGTGACATCCGGATGATGTCCGTATGAATAAAATTTGTGAAAATCACGACGTGACGTTCGTATGATTTTCATTTATTACGCGGTGAATTCCCTATGATATCAGTATAAATAAAATTGGTGAAAATCACGACGTGATGTTCATATGAATATCACGAATGTTGTCCGGGTAGGTTTTAAATTCGCAGTTCGCAGGGCTCATACGCATGCGCAAATTTTGCAAATATCACACCGTGAGTTCTACATGATACCACTGTGATGAAGCATGTGTATGCACTCAGGATATCACAGCGTGATAAAAAAATCACGTTGTGATATCATCATGACTTCACCAGGAAATCCCGATTGTTGTCCGGGTGATTCATTAAAACTAAAATGTTTCACACAAAAGCAATTTTTTTTCGGTGAAATTCAAAATAAAAACGCAAATCAAACACTTCCGTTCCCTCCATACCAAAATTCGTCAATCACTAGCATGTAAGTTAAATCTACATTCATAAGCTTACTAGTAAGCATGGACCTATTCCATTCTGATATTCCCCAATTTGCAGCTCGGTTTCAATTCGAAACTATCATCAATGATAATCATATATTAATATAACAATTGTTATATTATGGGTGAATTATTCACCGTGAATATAAATTAATTCATATAAGGGATTAAAAAAATTCTCCCAACATTTCCGGTTCACCTTGTATAAGACCGTGGTAAGTTGCGCTGCGCACTGTGCGTTTATCCAGTTTTAAATTACAGTTTTCTAATTTTACCCAATATATGCAACTCAGCATACTGGTTCGAGACAAAACTATAAAAAGCGCGACAACAATCGGTTTGTATCTTCACTAACATAAAATTAACCTAAACCAAATATTTACATTTCTTGCTTTTTATGGCGGAAGACAAGGAATCCAGGTATTAAATAAATTAAACTACTTGTTAATTTTATTACTAATTAATTAACTTCTATTTCCAGCAAAAATGGCAGTCCGCCTTCAGAAAATAAGACATTTGAAAGAAAACAAGATGCCATTGAAGATACAAAAACAAGTGATAGCGAGAAAACAGAAAAGAAAGGAAGCACTGAGCAAAACAATTGCTATTGGTAAGTACCATTGCATAATGTGATAACATTTGTTTTAATTTTTTTTTCAGTGGTAAAGAACGAAACCTAAATATAGTAGAATTACTTTGTGCTAATTGTAATAGATGGTTTCATGAATCTTGTATAGGCTATCAACTTGGAAAATTAGTACCTTTTTTAATGAACTATATTTTTCTGTGTAAAAACTGCTCACCAACTGGATTGGAGAGTTTTAAAAAAAGTCAAGCTCGTAAGATTACTACTTAATATTACATTGTAAGCATAAAATATTTTTTTCTAGAAATAACTCAAATGTGCATAACGGCAATTGCAAACTTACATCAAACAAGTGTTAAAGATGGTAACAATAAGACGATGTTCAGTAAAGAAAAAGAGATAATACCATTTATTGACTATTATTGGGAAGCCATTACAACCACCTCAAGAAGGGTGACACAATCTTGGCATGTTACTGTCACTAAAGCTTTAGTAAAAGATATTCATGTTTTCTTCATATTTGAAGAGCATCCAACTGATGGACAAATGTATGGCTTGGTGAATTCCGATTTAACATACATCAAGCCCAACTATGATGCTATGATTAAAGGGGGTGTATTAAAAGTTACAGATATGGGAATACAGCATGGTAAGTACCTAATTATAACATATAAATTAAACACTGATTTAAAATTATAGCATCACTTAAAACACAAGGACTTCTAGCTGTTATGTTTAAAAAAGATCAACCAACTTACTGCACAGCATAGAAGGGTTATCTGCCAAATTCAGAAGTTGGCAAATAGCCATAGTCATTCTATGCTATGCAGTCAGAGGTTGATCTATTTGAAACATAGAGCAGCCAGAAATCATGGTGTTTTAAGTGATGCTATAATTTTGCCGACAGTGTACATGCATAGTTAAAAAAGTTACAAAACAAGTAGCTACCTATGCAATAAAAATGTTTGCCTATTTGTCTGATTGTTATTCTATGTACATAAACCCAAAGCCTCTTTCCTTGACCGTTTTATTTTGACTTAAGTGTTTTTTAAAATGTTGACATAAAAAATCTAGTCTAATGACAATAGAGATAGAGATAAAGTTTCACTGTAAAATTTTAAAAACAATTAGGTATTTACTGCTTTGGCAACTAGGAAATCAATAACATGTTAGCTTACTCATTTGTTTAATATGTGGCTTAATTAAATGCAATATTTTAGTTTTATCATGTTCCTTTTTGCATTGTACACTATTAATTAACGTAGAATGTTCAATCCTAATAATGGAATTAAATTATTTAGATAGTGATGAAGATAAAGGTAGGTTATGCTTTAAAATATCTAATAATTTAAAACTAACCATTATTAAAAATAGTCCATATACAAGGTGTACATAAATATTATAATTGTCGAATTTTTTTCCTGTAAATAGGTATAAGTAAAGTTTTGTAGACATTTGAGTAAAAAACAAGACACTTTGTATAATAAAGACAATGTTAAAAGTGTACCTAACAAATAAAAACGTATTTGTTGATGATTTCTATGGCAACCATTGTTACAATAATGAATAAAGAAATAAACACCTTAAAAATAACCGCAACTTAAATAGAACGTGCAAAGGTAAATTCTAACAAGAAAATGTCAGTTCCAGTTACCGGCAACGTAAAATCAAGGAATGCAAAACGAAAATTTCCCGGAGATGTTAGCGGTCCCGGTAAAAAAGGCAGAGGAAGCGAATTGTGTGCGCTGAAACTTCCGTCGCACGGATACCCGCTAGATCATCCTTTTAACAAAGACGGATACAGATACTTACTGGCAGAACCTGATCCACATGCTCCATTTAGACAGGTCAGAACAATTCCAAACTAACATTTAAGTTAGGTTATAGGATGTTTGACGTTTGTGTTTATCGAATTTTTTATTAAGCACGTTGTCTTGATTGAACCTTGAGGTTGAATGCCAATATATTGGAGCAAAAAAAGTAATAATTAAGGATAAATTATTGTTCTTTATAAAAAAATATTGATAGATTGTTTTAAAATTTTAGTTAGCTTTTTTACTTAAACATGATTGCCATTTTCTGGAAAACCGGGTGTGACCTTACTAAGGGAATTTATTTTACAAAGGAGTGGCAGGGGAATTTAGGGAATTATTACTAATTACACAGTACGACAAAATTTGATTTTTTCCCTCCCATGAAATATTCCTATAGATTTTGAAAATAGACTTAAAAAAATGATACCCATGAATCGGCGTTTTTTCAGATCACGTCATTTATTTTGTTAAAGTGCGATTCAATAAAATGTTATCCACGGCACATAATATAACAGCTTCGATAACAGCTAGACTGTATATTTTTAAGAAAAATTTATTCACTGAATAAATGGCCAACCATTAAAATTATATATTTATTCCATTAAAAGTTTCTGAGGAATGGCAAAAGATGTCGATTTGAAATTTTAAAAGCGTTTATTATTCAGTTAAGCCTATTTTTCTAAAATATTTTAAACAAAATTATTAACTATAGGATCTCGAAAACTATTTACTTTCTAAAAATGAATTAGTCAAAAATGACTAATTACTACAGTTATTAGTGGCTGATTTTTAACTTATACGATATAGTGGCCAATTCTTATGTAAAATTGTCCGCTTAATCTGAAAATGTCGTCAAAAGTTATAAAAGTAAAACAATATTTGAGATATAGTCAATTTTCCATATAATATGGAATTGACTATATCTCAAAAACTGCTCTGCTTTTATAATTTTTGAGAGTAGGTATTTTCGGATTCATGGGACAATTTTACATAAGAATTAAATATAATATTATATTATGTCAGGGATACCATGTTCTATTTGAAATAACAAAGTTTCAGTCAAACCAAAAGTGGCATTTTGTTCAAAATATTTAAAAAAAATGGATGGATTATAAACGCTTTTAAATTTCAAATCGATATTTTTTTCCGTTCCCCAGTAACTTCCAATGGACCATAAATGTGAAAAACCCTGTATATCAAGTGGTGTTTTTTAGGTTGCGATACCACTATATTTTCTGAAGCAATGTATAATCGTCTAAACTAAAACATCAAGATTTGTTTCCAACATATATATAATATATAACATATTAATATAAGATAAATACAAGTCTGTTGTTTTATTAAAAAAAATTAAAATTGTTATTTACTTTAAGTATAATTGAGTCGTATAGATTCAAAACCCGCCAAATCCATTTATTGAAAGTAAAGGACAGAAGACATGTTTCCATAACAACATAATTAATATGTATTGCAAACATATCTACTGTCCTTTACTTTCAATAAATGGATTTGGCGCGTTTTGAATCTATACGACTCAATTTTAGTATTATGTAAAAAAATAAAATATTTGAAAAAAAAATTATTTTTAAAAAAATAGAGAATTAAAAATCTGTTTAATTTAAAATAATAAAAATGGCTGTGTAAAAAATTTAAATGACGTGATTTCGTGAAACGGTGAGACGGGTACGTTTTTTTAACCTTTATTTTTAAAATTTGTTAAATTTTTTCATGGGAGAAATATCGAACCAAACCTCACCCAATCTCACGTGGGCTCCTCCTGGTTTTCTCGGCAAATATCACGTAATTTTTTTTCCGAAAGAAACAGTGTAAAATTGCGAAAGTAGTAATATTATCAAAGAAAATAGAGAAATATCTGGACTAGTGCGTTTTTATTAAACTTGATATTGAAGAAATTTTTATCATATAGATGCTTTCAGTCCACGATAACATTTAGGGCTGTGGTTTAAATTAAACTTATAGTCACTGTCCAGGATATGTTTAGAGCAAACAGAAGCGGTCTTAACGTTAATATTGTCTATTATTTTTGTGGCATATAACGGTTATATTATAACCACTGTTTGTACAAATCAATATTTTTTGGGAATCGATGAAATTTAATGTTTTTATTTAAAGGGTTTTCCTTATACTTGTTGTCCGAATTGCATCCAAATATGCCTCACACCGCATTTTAATAAATGCAAATGGCACGACACAAACTAAAACTCAAAGAAAACAAGTTATCGCAACACAAAAACTATAATAAACAAACAGGTTAACACAGCGCAATAACAATAATTTGAACACTGAAAAGTATTTCAAACCTTACTAAAGCAAAAACAATAAGTTAAACAAAAAAACAGATCAAGTTAACATCCAACAGCATCGCAAAAACAATAATTTTAGCAGCAGATAATTAAAAAGCACGTTACAGATTTAAAGATACTCAACGAGTGACGTATTTAAGGCCCGCTCAACATGCGCACCATCTTATCTTAAGGTGTATATATCTTGGGGTGATCGAGACTCGATCATCGAGTGTGTTTAAGTATCTTGCCATTCAGATGATTTCAGGACTGAATATATTCAGGACATCTCACACAGAGCTGCAACAAGTCAGTTTTAAAAAGACTTAAATCTTAAGTCTTAATTCTAAAATCTAAATGATTTAAATCTTAAGTCAATTCTAAGATAAAGTTCAAATGATTTAAGTATTAAGTCTTTGAATTAAATCATTTTCTTTCAAGTCAAGTCATTTTCGCAAATTCTTAAATCAACATAAAGTGATTTAAGTCATCTTATGACTTAATTCCTTTAGTAAGTCGTTTTTATGACTTAAGTCTATATTTTTTATTTAAATCGTGATCTAAGAGTTAAGTCAATAAAATGACTTGAAACAAAAATTGTGATTTAAATCAAAATAATTACCCTTAAGTCAATACAACGATTTTTTAAATGTTAATAATAATTTTATGGTAATAATTATACTGAAATTATTAATCTATTGTAGATACAGATGATAATAAACCACTATGTTAAGAATTTAAAACGATTTATTTTCAGAACACTTACAAACAAAATAAAAACTTAAAACACATTTTTTGAGTATATAGTAGACAATCAAAATAAAAACTTAAACCACCTTTTTTTAGTAGAGTACATACAGGGAGGCTACTTTTTTATTTACATAAATGGGTAGCTTCTAACCGGTAATAGATTCAAACTCTGTTAAAATAGATTAAAGTTGAAGCATTTTTTTAAAATCGATCTATTTCAAAAACTGATAACTTGTTGTTTTGTTAACTTTTGTTAGTTGGTTCAATATCCATCTAGAAAAAAAATATTTAATGATGGGAGGTTCCAAACTCTCGATTCACGACCGCTCAAGATTTACGACTGCTCAAGACCGCTCACGACTACTCCAGATTCACGATTGTTCACGATTTACGACCACTCACGACTGTTTTTTGTCGTAATTATTTACTTAAACAAACCGAAACACTCTGTATGATATAAACACGTCTTTATAATATTTATATGTCCTTACCTGTTAATCGTTTGTTTCCACTTTGCACTAATCACAAATTAGACCTAACTACGCACGCATAACACGACGAATGTTGGCAAACAAAACTAGAAATCCCCACTTTTTTTTCATTCATTTTAGACAGGACATTTTTTAATGTAGCCGTCAAACGGTTCCGAAAAGCTAACTTTACCGCGGCGGTTTTTTTATTCACTAGCGGTAGCAATTGTAGGTAGGAAATTAAAGGAGTTTTTGATCTGCTGCCGCGTGAACCCCTGGCTGTTCAAAAGAAAATGCCGCTGTTAAAAATTTATAAAAAAATATATGAAAAATCTGACTTTTCTAAAAAGACTTAAATCTTTTCTAAAAAGACTTAAATCTTTTTTTTGACTTAAATCGTTTCTATCTGACTTAAATCGTATGTACTGATTTAAGTCACAAATCATTTTGAAAATTACTTAAATTTTAAGTCTTAAGTCAGTTTTAAAGAAATGACTTATTACCAAATGACTTAAGTCATTAAAACGATTTAAATCAAAAAAATGATTTAAGTTTTCTGAGAGCTTGCAGCTCTGATCTCACAGTAGGGCGGAATCCAAAAAACCTGTCCAAAATGTTTAGGTATTGTTGTTTTTAACAAAATTAATAGATCATACGTTTTAAAAGTTGATGATTGCGAATTCGATCTAAAAAAAATTAAAAATTAATTTGGCGAAAAAACTTTGCCAAAATGTCATGAAAATTATCGGTAATCTTGTTATTGTCCCCGAAAATTTAAACCTAGGTATTTTATTGATTTTGGCGTTATGAAAACAATCAATTTTGTATTTCAAATTTTTTCAGCCAAAATTTAAAAACACATTTCATTAGTATTAGCTGTATGTCCATGATAGTAAAATTGCTATAAAACGAATGCTTTTATAGACACAGTGTATGGCATACACAGTGACTGTATACTATGCCTTTTATCTCGAAAAAAAAAAACAAGATTAGATTGTTAAAAACTTAACTTTATAAACTTCTTATTGTGGGTAATTTTTTATGCAGGAATTTGATGAAAGCTCAGACTGGGCAGGCAAACCTATACCAGGATGGTTATACAGAACATCAGTACCGAGTATATGTTTACTAGCTTTGCACGATCGAGCACCGCAATTAAAAATCTCCGAAGATCGTTTAGCTGTTACAGGGGACAAAGGATATTCCACAGTTAGAGCCACACACGGTAATAATTAACCTAAAATTAATACGTGGGAAGAAGAATGTCGCACTCCATCTTTCCACTCCTATTTAGATTTATAACACTAGTTTACAAAATCGAACAAAATTCTGCCCACCATATCCCATTATAATTTTCCCATGTATTTTGACCCACTAAACATAAAAATCACACCCTATTTTTTTAAGGAAGCGTTTTTGAAATATGAATTTTTAATTGTTTTTTTTAATTTTTGGAGGTGTTTTGACGTTTTTGAGTATAGCTTAAAATCTAATTGATAGATTTGGCCAAACAAGCCCTTAAATTAAAGGTATTTAAGCCCTCAAAAATTTTCTTCTACATACTTTTGATATCGGAAAAGTATTTTGATGCCAACGATTTTGATAACTTAAAAAATTCGTCGAAAATTTAGGTCGAAAATTTACATATCGTCCTTTGGAAAAGTTTAATCAAACAGATAATAAGTTCTGATTTTTTTAGTGGAAGACCAAAATTCAGGTTTTTGACGATTGTTTTCTTTTATTCTTTAATAAAAACCTAATTAAAGTGCATGATTGTGATTTATTGAGTTTTTACGTACTTTTTTCACAGAAAACATTATTCAAAATTTAAATTTGGCATGACTCCGCAAACGTAAATTCTTTTGTTTCTCGTGTTGGCATAGTGTTATTTTTTAACATTTCAACGAGGTATTTTTATCATTGTTTATTTAGTTAATAAAAAGTTTAAAATGAGTAAAAGATGTAGAGAGTACAAGTGCGTAAAAAACCCGGACAATCTGGGCGACGTAAGTAATGAGCACGGATTTCACCAGCAAATGAATGATGCAGCCATGATGGGTCCCTCATACCAAAAACGAAATACGCTAAAGAAGTATCGGGTTTTCGCAACGCGCGCGCCATCTGGTGGACTTCGATAGCATTGCGTGAATTTAAGAATTGTCAACAATACATTTAAAGCATACGAACTGTACATCATTTTTAAATAAATAGGTAGTTATTTTTACAAAAGAGAGGAAGGCAGAAGTCTTACTCGACAAATTTTGTTCAATTGCACACCGTTTTTTTTTTTTAAGCCGGGTATACAATTGTCGCAGATCGCAGAACGTAAGCATGCGCAAAGCACCCAGCGACGTTGCGATGGAGCAAGGTCACACGTCGCAGAAAGTTAATTCATCTTCAATAACGTCTTTCGCAGGCTTTTATGTTAGCCAATCATAGAGCGCTAGAATCTATCTGTCTCTGTGCTCTCTTTCTTTCAATAATCAATACTTTTATTTAGTTCCTTTTCCTATTTCGCGGTTATTTTTAAATTTTTGGTGTAATTCTCAGAAATTATTCGAAAAACGTAATTGTCCAAATTTAAAATAATTTTCAATGTTTTCTAAAGACCATTTAAATAAATGTAGGTATGTATATTCTTATTACTATTGAATATTCATACCTATATTGATTTAAATAGGTAGTTTTTAGGAAATATCGAAAATCATTTAGAATTTTCAAATTTTGATCAAAATAATTATTTAAAATTTTAAATAATATTAACTAATTCTATGATAATCTAAACAATTTTTCCAATCCAATATTGGAAATATTTGTTTACCAAAAGTATTATGATAATCAAGGTAATTTTTGTTTTAAAATTAATTTATTTTATCAGGTAAAATACTAATTCTTACTTAACTCTTAAACATATTTTACCTAAAAATAAACCCCAAGCAGTTTTTAGAGATAGGGATCCATCCATATCTCTGTTTTTTTTCACTAAATTTAGGGGAAACACTTCTACGTTGGCCACACTGTGGTTATAAAGAAAACAATTGCTCTGATTGGTCAATAAAAGCACATCGCGCGACAATTGTAGACAGCTCACATAACAACGACGTGTGACCTTGCTCCATCGCAACGTGGATGGGTGCTTTCCGCATGCTTACGTTCTGCGATCTGCGTTCTGCGACAATTGTAGACCCGGCTTTACGTTGCAAGGAAAAAACTTTTTTAGTATCTACTCGATTTCGATTGATTATTCTTTATATCATTGATTAAGAAACTCAACGCTTAAATGCTTATACCTATACTATATAGTTACGTTAGTGTGTGAATGGTGAATTAATGGTTTTTAATTGTTAATAAAATTCAGGAACTAAATCGTTGCATTTTCATGTTTTATTGGTGCAGAATTAACTAATGCTAACTTTACCTAATATAATTTATATTTAAGTTTAAATATTTTTAAGAAATTAGTAAAACATTATTTTGGCCCAAACATAACCTTAAAATTAACCATTTTTATATTTAAAGTCCGCTGCACAACAGCCCGGTAACGGGAACGGGAAACTAAACGGTAAAGGTGGGAGAGACACAGCGAACCCTATCTATTTTCAGTGGTTTTTTAGTTTCTCCCACCTTTATTGTTAGGATTCCCGTTCCCGTTACCGGGATATTGTGCAGCGGGTCTAAGTTCTCTAAAAAAATGCCAACTGCATTTTAAACAACAAAATAAACCTAATATTATATACAGGGTGTCCCAGAACTCGCGCCACAGAGAAAAAGGGAACGTACCGAAAGTAATTTGAAACACATATTTAAAATTTCAAATTGTCCAACGCAAAGGATAAGGGAGATAAGAATAAAAAACGATAGCCAATCCCAATAGATCACCACAGGGAATTCTTTAAATTGCTAGGATACTTAGGTTGCATTGTTGATAATAAAAAATATGTAAAATATTTGGTCCACTGGAATCCAATTCATTGTCATTAATATTATATTAGGTTATAAATTAAGTTATTATTGACAATGCTGTCAATCTTTACTTTTGTTATTAATATTGTATTAGGTAATAAATTAAGTTATTATAAATAATGTTTTCCTTGATGATTATACCGAAATGATAACTATTTATGGGGAGCGTGGGCGCAAAAAAAGCTAAATAAAGTACAACTGGTTTGATTTTTTACTTTAAAACATTGGCGTTCTGAAGTATCAGTCATAGATTAATAACCTCATTTTTTTGAAAGCTTTTGACAACTTAGTAAATACAGTTGGCCAAAAGATTTTTAAATGTTTTTAAGACAACAATGTTCTATCGTCTCCTAGCAATTTTTAAAGCTCCTACGTTTAACCTAGGCGAGATGTCTCGGTATTGGCTGCCGCTTTTTTGCTCTCATTCGATTACACTATTACCTAGAAATTTTTTATTTTTAAATTTGGCATCTCCATTGCTATCGGCACGCCCCCTTTTTCTCTGTGGCGCGAGTTCTGGGACACCCTGTATAATACATAATATAATGGTATTTTACCGTTGAGTGGAGACTTTCTTAATCAACGCTTTTAATAATGCTAAATGCTGTTTAAAATTTAGACGACTTATTTGTTTGACGATTTTTACTGAATTGAAATGTTTACACTTTTCACGTTAATTATTACTTAAATGTGTATTTATTGTATCTAATAGATACAATTTATATTTACAGGGACTGTATAAAATTTATTTCTTCATTCGGATTAACACTGTTTATTGGAGAACCGGTAAAAACTCAACCCAGGATTTTCTCTCGAAATACACCCAACAACACAACAAATCGTGGCACGGTTTTTTTTACGATATTTTTTTTAACATTTTCCGGCTTTATTCTCAAAAACAGTCGTTTTTAACATAAGCGTTTGACAGCTGATTATTAAAAGTTACGATGATAACAACTGGGTGCTCCCGTGTACGAGTTTTGGTTCGTGCTGCGCATGACGTCACTTGATGAGTAGTTGCCGTGCGAATACACGAATATTAGTAATATTATCAAAGAAAATAGGGAAATATCTGGACATAGTGCGTTTTTATTAAACTTAATATTGAAGAAAGTGATATAATATGGATAATAGATGCTTTCAGTCCTTGATAACATTTAGGGCTGTAGTTTAAACGTTGGTGTTTTAAATTAAACTTATAGTCAATGTCCAGAAAAAGTTTATAGGAAACAGAACGTTAATATATATTGTCTATTCTTTTTGTGGCATTTAACCACTGCTTGCACAAATCAAAGTATTTCGGGAATCAATTAAATTTAATGTTTTTATTTAAAGGGTTTTTTGGACTGGTTGTCCGAATTGCATCCAAATATGCCACACCGCATTTTAATAAATGCAAATGGCACGACACAAACTAAAACACAAACAAAACAAGTTAACGCAACACAAAAACAATAATAAACAAACAGAACAGGTTAACACAACGCAATAACAATAATTTGAACACTGAAAAGTAATTCGAACCTTTTCCGAACGCTAAAACAACAAGTTAAACAAAAAATAGAGCAAGTTAACATCCAACAGCATCGCAAAAACAAGAATTTTAGCAGCAGATAATTAAAAAGCACGTTAAAGGTTTTAAAACACCCATCAAGTGACGTATTTAAGCCCCGCCCAACATGCGCACAATCTTATATTAAGGTGTATGTATCTTGCAGCCGAGTGGTGGCTCTACTAGCGATACTTCTTTAGCGTATACGAAAGCAACAAAAAAAAAGAATGAGCCAGATTTTTTTAAAACTATGCTTATAACAACAATTTTGATCTTCCACTATAAAATTCATAACTTCGCCATTTATCCATGGATTTTTATCAACAACAGCTTATTTTTTTCCTTATGCTGCTGCAGTCTTATGTCTAATCTTAAGGGCCCACTGCTACAGCCTTAGATATACGTTTCGCGCTTTAAAACTTTTTCCAGTACCAAACTGCTTCTGCAGTTCATTTACGCGTCAACTAAATTTGGCACTATACAGTGGTTCGTGAACTGCTGGGGACGTAAATTTACGCACAAGGCGCGAAAACGCCGCTCAGCGGTGACACTCAGCATTGTAAGGGTTAAGTATTATCTATACGTAAAACAAATCAAACTGGACTTATCTTTTTGATTTATATCTTTCAATTTTATAAAATCGCTAGCATCGAACTACTGCCCTGCTTAAAATACCCCATAGAGACCCTGTTCAAACCGATAGATATTTGTATCGGAATGTATGGTGTTTCTATAGGGTGTATTGGTTTGTATAGAACCCATAGTTGAGATTTATGGTTGTTCTATAGGGATATCCACCGTTGATTTATTTGCTATCGGTTTCAATGGGGAAAATACACATACATGTAGAAATTAGTTTTTCCCCTATAGAACCCCATAGGTTTTAATAAAATTTTGTCAAATGTTTTATGGTTGCTCCATAGGGATATCCCTATATATCCTTCATTGAGATATTTGCTATCGGTCTCAATAGGGAAAATGTAAAAGTTATGGTGTGCCTATAGGTAATTTCCTATACATTTTCTATCGGGCTGTATCCGAAAAAAACCATGGACAAATGCACATATTGAATCCGGTAGCGCTCGATAGATTATTTTGTATAGGTCTCTATGGGGTATTTTAAGCAGGGTGGGCCGATATCAAAACTATACAAGAGAAAGTTATAGAGGGTTTAATTTCCTTTGATTTAAGTGCTTGTTTGGTCAAATCGATCAATTAGAACTCGAAGTATACTTTTAAGTGTGATTTTCGGGTTTAGTGAGCCAAACTACACAAGAAAATCGTAGCGAGACATGGTGGGCAAAATGGCTGTAAACTAGTGTAATTATAATTATTATAATTAACAAAACATTTGTATAGCAATTTCAAAGGGTTGTTGGTATTGGGAGGCGACAATCGAAGAGATGCCGGAAGGTTCAGCGACTAGAATGGGTTGGGGCCAGGACTACGCGAACCTGCAGGCTCCGCTGGGCTACGACAAGTTCGGTTACTCGTGGAGATCGCGGAAAGGCACGAAGTTTCATGAATCGAACGGCAAACACTATAGCAACGGCTACGGCGAGGGGGACACCGTAGGGTTTATGATCCAAATGCCGCTGGATGCTCGCACACATGTCATACCCAAAACTTACAAGGATAGAGTAAGATCATGTTTTTTATGTTTTAAACTTTAATATTTTTTTCTACTACCGTAATGGAAAACTTAATTTTCCACCCCCGAGCGAGGGAATTTCCTCCCTCTATTTTTTTTTAACAATTTTACATTAGCAAGAGTTTTGTACCTTGTCTAATCCTATTTGATTTTCTAGGGAAAAGATTTACTCCGCGCTTGTCCAACCATTCTTTGTTTAGTTTAGTTTATTGCTTATAACAAATGTTTTAGCAGTGTCAAAGTTACAAAAAAAATACATGACTATATTCCTTTTCATATCGCTTTTTCGATTTTTGAGGAAGAATATTAATTTCAACTACTCTTGCCTCTTCAGCAAGATCTTGAGGCAGGTCTTCTTCGCTAGAACTCATTTTTAAAACGTAGGAAGAATTTCAAATTTATGATAACCTGACAGCTTATAACAACTGTTATGTTTGTTTTACCAAAAATACCATAGCAACAAAGCGTTGTCGACATAAAGTCGGCGACGCAAAACCTACTTAATATTTTGTCATAATATTATAGCCCCATACCGGGTTAGTAAAAAGAACCGGAACGCTTAAAATGTCTTTAAAACCGTTAAAAGGTAATAGAAAAAACCATATACATACCTCAGGAGGAAAATGCGTTTCCTCCCTTGAATATTTAATGCCCTTCGCTTCGCGTCGGGCATCAAACTATTCACGGGAGGAAAAGCATTATTTTCCTCCCATGGTATGTAAATAGCTATTTATTTGATTTTTTCGCGGACGGGTTAATCCAAAAATATGAACCGGAAACGTTGCGCGCACGACGCGTATTAGAATATTCGAACAAAATTCGCACAGTATCATGAGTTTAAAATTTGGTAGCGCAAATTCGCACTGTAGTTGAAAATTAAAAATTAGTAGTGCCAATTCGCACAGGTCAAAATTTAAAAGAAAAATGGGAAAAATTCGCACAGTGTTATACATATAGAAAATGGTAGGACAAATTTTCAAAATTTGCGGACGGGGTAAAGTTTTGTTAGTTTTTTTCTCAAAATAATTAGGTATAAATATTGGCTAAGTACAGCAATTACGATTTTTCATATTCCAAGGTGGTATGTATACTAAATACTATGTATAATATCAGCCGTATATATTTCTTATACTCAACCGTAATTATAGTAATTTCTAAACAGTGGTTAGCCTTCAAAACCACTGGGATTTACTTGGTAAAATTATTACAGTTAAAAAAATGGCCATACGCAAAATTGGAAAACATGAATAGAAATGAGCTTGATATCCTGTTTGCTAGAAGCATCATAGCAAATGTCTGTAAAGTGGTGCTTTGTATTGATGACTAATAGTCCAGGAAACAAAGGGCAGTTTTTTTTGCTTGTTGGCTCATAACTCGCTAACCGTGCATTTTTTCAGAATTTGACCTCTAATACTTTGATTATGTACTAAATAAGGCACACGTTAAACCCCATTGCGCACCTATATGATGCTTTGCCCTTTTGCTATGCGCAGTGTGCAAAGTTGAGCGTTGCTTTCAAAATCACTTTTTTGTTTTTTATTATAGCCCAAATTTAAAAGTAATCAATCCCAAACCTTACGGTTATCAAACATAACCGGATGGACGATTTTTTGAGGTACTATACTTTTTTCAAAAGTTACTGCTTTTCAATTTACAGGGAGTTCTTTTTTCAAAACTTCAATTTATGTGGTGCACTTGCAATGAAAATAATTAAAAAAAACTACGGATTCGTTACGAGGATAAGTGTACCTAAAAATCTAGGGTAGAACGAACTGGCTTATTAAAGCCGTTTGGGAAATAAAAAATGGGTTTTTTGAAAAAAGAACCCCCTGTACATTGAAAATCAGTAACTTTTGAAAAAAGTCTAGTACCTCAAAAAATCGTCCATTCGGTTATGTTTGATTACCGTAAGGTTTGGGATCGATTACTTTTAAAATTGGGCTATAATAAAAAAAAACAAAAAAGTGATTTTGATAGCAACGCTCAACTTTGCACACTGCGCATAGCAAAAGGGCACATCATATAGGTGCGCAATGGGGTTTAACGTGTGCCTTATTTAGTATATAATATTAAAGGTCAAATTCTGAAAAAATTCACGGTTAGCGAGTTATGAGCCAAAAAGCAAAAAAAACTCCGCTTTCGGGGGATGAAATTAGGGGAGGCGGAAATAAATTTTTGGGAATATTCTTGATTCATTTTCAGCACCCCTGACTACATAAAAAAAATAAAACCCGACTACCATCGAGTTTTCCTTCTACAACCTGGACTATAAAAAATTGTTTCCTATATTATACAAAGTAATTAATTAGTTAGTATTCATATGTCCTAGTGGTTACTTGTGTTATTTATTAATAAAAATATATTTTTTTACATATAGTTTTTTTGTACTAAACGTCAATTTTAAGGACATAGTACAACAAAAAATACAAAAATTGTAGATGTGATACCTACCCAAAGGGTTAAAGTAGGTAATACAAAATTTCGACTTTTTCAATATACAAAATTTAAGTTCTGAGCTTCTAAGCTCAAAAAAAGCTTAAAAACTCATTAGGTAGCTTAAAAATGCTTAAAAGCTTGATTAATGACATGTTTTATATTTCTCATCAAATCAATGTCACAATTTTGTCACTGATGAAAGGATATTAATAAATCAAAAAATTGTTTGCACTAAAAAGTTTCAATTATTCTAGGAAACCTACACGAATTTTATTAAATTAACCAACAAAAGTTTTATTTCAGCTGTGTAGTCTTAGATGATTTTTTTTTTATTTCTTCTTATTTTGTATTTTTATAGGGTGTCCCAAAAATGAAGAATCAATAAAAATACACTACGAGCATTTTTCAATTGCAACTGTAACAATAATATTCTAATTCTAAAAGTTGCTTTGAACAATCGTAAATGGCATTGTTGTTAGATGTATTTATAAGTTTGCTTAAACAGTTCAGCAATAAATTATCAAGTTGTATTTACAATATTGAGAAACAAACTATTCATAAAAAATATACCTACCACAATCCACACAACAAGGTCTGTTCGATCTCGTACTAAAAATCACTGCAACACTGCACATCATTTAATGGCGGCCATTTTTGTTGTTTACAATTCTTGTGCTTTGGGTTTGTACAGATTAATAATCGTTTTGTGTCTTACAGAGAGACTTGCAAGCCTTAAAAGAGACCTCAAAGTGATAAGAACAATCATTTTACTCCTCTTTTGTAAAAAATAAACCTTATTCTATCAGGGCTGTCAAATGTCAATTTGAAGGTTAATTTGTGGGTTATAAAATAACCTTAAAATTGACAGTTTGATGACAGCCTTGATAGAATAAGGTTTATTTTTTACAAAAGAGAAGTAAAATGATTGTTCTTACCACTTTAAGGCCTCATTTGAGGCTTACAAGTGCCTCTATTAAAAACACAACGTCTAAGATTGATATTTCTTGGGATATTGAACTTTCATTTATTATACTTCACTTATATGATGTCAAGTCAACTTGTCTGTTTCGTGAAAAACTTGTACCTGTTCTTAAATGTGATATTTTATAATTACTTGCTATTTATATTGTACCTATTGATTGTTGTATTTATTAGATGAACTAGTTAAATTAATTCTTTTTAACAAAATAGTAGCGTAAAATGCTGCTGAGAAAAATTTGAAAAAAAAACAAGTTTACGTGGGAAATCTTTCACCACGAAAGAGTACTAAATTAATTAGCACTAAGAGCTGAAACATACAGGGTATTATTTTTTTGATTGTTACAATAATATTTTGAGACGAGTGAAGTGTTCAGGAATAAAAATTATACCTCTATTATAGGTATACATAATATTTTTGGGAGACCCTGTACAAAATTATATTATGTTTTTAGTTTATATTTATTTTAGCCTTTGGTGAAGTTTAAAAGTCACTTGTATTATGAAGACAAAGATAATGTTCCTGAACGACTAAAATCATTGAAAAAATTGCCAAAAAGTAAGATCTACTTCTTTAAAAATGGAGAATGTCAGGGTGTGGCCTTTGAAGAAATTTACCAGGCCATTTATTATCCAACAATTTCAGTGCACAAAAGCGCCACAGTGTCAGTGAATTTTGGCCCAAATTTTAAATGTCCACCTGATCCTAGTGAATTTGATTATAAACCAGTATGTTTTTAATCAATTTTACTTATTTATTATATTTATTTGTAAATTTGTAGATGTCTGAAAAAGCAGAAGAAGCCATCAGTGAACAGACAATGGCCGATGTAATTTATTTAACAGAAAATGAAGGCAAACTTAGACTTGATAGCTTTGTTTTGTGACGATAGTGATCTTTTTTGTTTCAAGTTTTCCATATTTTTTAGTTACTTGCTGGTTTTTAAGCAACAACTTGTGTATTATAAAATTTATAATTAACAATACAATAATTCTAAATTATTTATATTTTATTATTTTCCAAAACCTCCTCTACAATTTGGACTTGGGTCGACATTCTTATCACTACTGTTCCATTGTTCTGTAGTTTTGGCAACAATTGATAAAGCATGGACCCCATTTTGTAATTCTTCTTTTAAAATATCATTGACCATTCTATGTCTCTAAAAATACATAATTTGAACTAGAAAGTTTGTTTGCATTGAAAATGACTAGACTGCTATTGCGGCTGCTCTGTCACATAATAATTATTTCTATAAAAAAACAAACTTCTTTATTACCTTTATTAGAGGTAAATCCTTAAATTTTTCTGAAACCACTACAACTTTAAAATGAGTTTCAGCACCTTTAGGAACATTGTGCATATAAGATTCATTAATTACATCTAAATGAGTTACATTTAATTCTTGAGACAATTTTGATTTTATCGCACTTTCTATGGGATTTGCTAGAGATGACATTTTCATAAAATTTAAATTTGGCGCCTCTAAAATATTAATTTTATATTAAAAATATTTAAAACGTTATAAACCTCAATAATCTTGCTTTAATTACCTTTACGATTACAAATGAAAGCTCGAATATTTGGTAAAATCAATTTATTCATGTATTTATTTTGAAAGCTCCACATAACCTTAAATATAAATCAGATGGTAACGTAAAATTTTATATTACCCACCAAAGAACACCCACCTAATATTATTGCTATGTTGCCATCTTATAATACTCAAAATACCGTTTTTTATTTATTCCAGAAAAATAAGTCATAATAAAATCATGTAATTCTAATAAACAAACCTTCTCGAAATTAAAATTATATGGGTTATAAATAAATTGACTCATTTATTTAAATAAATAAGTGTGTTATTAGTTGCCTACACATCATCTGTCAAATGGCCTTTTTTCCAGTTGGGAATCAGCCGGAATGTTTGTGGTTATTTCAAAAGTAATATTTTTGTAGAAAAGGACGAAAATGGCACACGGATTTCGACATTTTTCCAACAAACTTTCAAACATTAACACCTTACTAACACCACGAAACCATGTCATAGGTGCTGATAGTTCAAAATCGTTTTTAACCATTTTTGTGCAGGTAAGACAATTTTTTTGATAAATAAATACAAGATTAAGATATAGTGGGATATTTTTAAAATTTCAAATAAATTATAATTAAATTTTTTTTCTGTCTTAACCTCTAAATCACAATTTTTTCTCTATTTTTAGTATTCGACTCGTGTAAACCCAGTATGGTATTATAGCAATGATAAAAACACCTATGAACAACAAAATGTCTTGCTAAACAATCGAGATAATCAAAACGAAACCTTTAGGGAGGTTATTAAGTTGAAAACCAGTGAAAGCAATTACCTAAAGTTAAACAAATCCATATTAAATTTTAAACAGACAAGCTGCAATTGTAATATTCCCAAGCAAAAAAGTGATCCTTTACCCAACAAACCACCAACAGAAAAATTGGAGCATGTTTATAACACTTTATCTGACACATTGCCAAAACTATTCATCCAACCAATGGATTACACAATATATCATCCTGATGTAGTGTTTGAGGATCGTATAAGAAATATTACAACCAAGTAAGATTATTAGAATATAGGTACAATCATTTTAATGAATTAGTAAACCCTCAATACCAAAAATAATAATGTTAATTTGACTAATTTTTATTAAAAAAAATTATAATTAAATGAAAATAGGAACCAGTCAAATAAAAAATATTAACTGTGGATATTATTGAAAGTCTACTACCTTAAAGGAACAGGTTCATTTTAATATTTATTAATGTTTTTCAGAATGTTTATAAAAATTTAAATTATACAAATATTTGTAGGTTTATTAAACAATATTTATACTCCTCAATATTTAAAAGCTTGCTAAGAAATATAAACAAACTATTAAATTTAATTTAACATATTTTTTATGCCATCGCTGTTTGCGATTGACCGATGGCACAAAAATCATGTCGTGATTTTCTATGCCAACGGTGTTTGGATAATCATTTTTACGCCACGTTCGTACACTAAGAGAAAAATTATGTTGAATCAACAGTTTTTGCGGTTAAATACATTTAATATTTTCTTGGATTTAAATTAACTATATATAATTAATTTAAATCCAAGAAAATATTGAATGTTAAACTGTTGATTCAATTGTTAACATACTTTTTTTTTCAATGTACGAATGTGTCGCTAAAATGAATATCCAAACACCGATGGCATAAAAAATCATGTCGTGATTTTTTATGACCAAACACCGATGGCATAAAAAATCATGTCTTGATTTTTTATGCCATCGGTGTTTGGATATTTATTTTTGCGCCACATTCGTACATTGAGAGAAAAAGTATACCTACATATACAGGGTGAGTTTTAAGTTGACGCGTTCCTTTTAACAGCGTGTAGAAATCAGATAAACAAATAAATATTTTAAGTAACTTTTATCAAAACTCAAAAATAAGAGAGTTATAGGCCTTCCAAGTTTAATTAAATTTTGAGCCGGTCCTGGCTATTGTTAACAAAAAACATAACCATAAAAATAAAAATAACAAAATAAACAATACAAAATGTCATCTATCACAACAAACATAACCATTTAAATCAAAATGAAATTTAGCAATGAAAAATGTCAGTTTTTTTGTGCCTCAATTATTGTTAAAAATGGTTCATAATGCATCAAAATGCAAATGCTGCAACTTAGGTAAATAATGACATTTTTTATTGCAAAATGTCAATTTGATTTAAATGGTTGTTGTCACGGTCTTATATACAGGTCTTGCAACTTTAAGCTTCGAGGTGGCTTCCTTAACGTGCCAAGCCGCTAGGTGGCGCTAAGATCGAAGGGGTAAAGTCAATTAAACTACTACTTAGTTAAATGTGGAACTACTGCATAACCATAACCTAACTTTTTTAATTCTTTTTTTATGTTTTGTTTACATTTTCAAAAATTTAATATTTGTGAGTTTGTTTCGGATAATTTACGTTAACAAAATAGGACAACAAAGTCTATACTATATGCACAAAGTCCTCGGCCGTCAGATGCCCAGACCAAACATGTTAATGTATAAAATACATACGCATATCATATATATGTTACGGCTAATGTGTAAACATGGATAGTTTATTAAGTAGCTGGGTAGTTTATAAACTAGCCAAACTGTCAGCTATTTTAATTAAAAACATATTTTTAACTAAATTAACGGCTAGTTTGTAAACCAACCAAGGGTCTTGGCTAATTTACTTGAAATTATTTAGGAATAGCTGGATAATTTGTAAACTATCCAATTCAATTTGGCTAATATGAAAACCAAAATTTCTAGTAACACAACAAACTAACCAACCAATATTCTGGCTAATTTATTAATAACCGATTTTTTTATTGTCTTGGCGGGGATGAGTTGATTGTTTATTTAAAATAATATATATTTCACCAACACGATGTGCTTAATTATATAATAATCATACAAAATGTGAAGGTGTCAATAATATGTTTTTTATTGCACATTGCCATGTTTTTAACCGCTCCTTATTTGTTAGCACTTTAAACATGGACCGATTAATTTTAATGCCGGAACGATAGCTTTGCTGGTTACATTTTGGCACAACACAGGACCTCATGTCTATTAAAAAGCACAAATACAAATGTATAACAAGAACAAATATAACAAGAAAAAATAGAACAATATAATATAACAATAACGAATATCACAATAACAATAAGTAAAAACTCCCTGTAACAAAATACACAAGCTTGTTTATAAAAATGTAGGTTATGTTTCTTCACAGAACATAAGTAGGTACTACCTACTAGGTAGTTCATTTGACCTTTATCCCATAGACTTTAAGCCGGTTTTACAATCGTTAGATTAAGTTAGCTTATTTGGCGGATAACTTTCATAGAAACCTTCTATCTAAGAAAATTATCCACCAGAGAGCTTATCTAACGATTGTAAAACCCAAAGATAAAGAAGGTAAAAACGACCTTTAAACATCTATGGTTCACCCTCAACTCGATGCGCCATCTGGTGGGTGTCTCATTAGAGAGGTCACTTTTCCTATTGAAATTGGGCGAAGTTGCAAGACCTGTATATAAGACCGTGGTTGTTGTCAAATATGACATTTTGCACTGTTTATTTTGATATTTTTATGGTTATGTTTTTCGTTAACAATAGCCAGGACCGGCTTAAAATTTAATTAAACTTTGATGGGCTATAACTTTTTTATTTTTGAGTTTTGATAAAAAAGTTACTTAAAATATTTATTTGTCTATCTGATTTCTACACACTGTTAAAAGGAACGCGTCAACTTAAAACTCACCCTGTATATTGAATAAACAGTTTTTGTGGTTAAATACATTCAATATTTTTTTGATTTAAATTAATAGTTAATTTACATCCAAGAAAATATTAAATGTATTTAACCGCAAAAACTGTTAATTCAATTGTCAACATACTTTTTCTTTCAATGTACGAATGTGGCGCAAAAATAAATATCCAAACCATGTCGTGATTTTATATGCCCAAACACCGATAACATAAAAAATCATGTCGTGATTTTTTATGCCATCGGTGTTTGGATATTTATTTTTGCGCCACATTCGTACATTGAGAGAAAAAGTATACCTACATATAAAAGGTGTCCCTAAACTTATTGGCATAAATTTAGGAAAAGATTGAGAAAGTCAAAATAAGACGAAAACCTAAATAAATATTTTTCCTAATTACTTATGTTTCCAAGATACAGGGTGATAAAGTATTACTTATCATATCCGTTTTTTTAATACATATAACCTCTACTATGATAGTCTTGAAGAGGTGATATTTTGCCAACAGTCACTTACTACCAAAACACATATTCACACATAATTATAATTGTTTGAGTGAACACAGTGTCGTAGAAGCGGGGGTTGCTTTAAGCTCATTTTCCCATACAAACTTTGAGATTAGGTTTTTGTAACATTTGATGCAATTTTTAGATTACACAGTTCGGCTACCATTAAAAAGGTGTACCTCTCAAACTTCGATAAAATAAACTGTTTTTCGAGATATTCGAGATTACAATAATTATTATATCGCATTATTTAAAAGGATTAAAAGGTAAATGATAACAAATTTTATTTTTTAATTGAAAAAACTAAAAAGAGCATTCCATGAGCCTCGGGACTTTTAGCCCTGACCGTCACATTAAAAAAGTTTTTTCAATTAAAAAATTTGTTATCATATACCTTTTAATGCGATATAACAATTATTGTAATCTCGGAAACGGTTTATTTTATAGAAGTTTGAGAGGTACACCTTTTAAATAGTATCCGAACTGAGTAATCGAAAAATTGTATCAAATGGTATAAAAACCTAACCTCAAAGTTTGTATGGGACAATAACCTTAAGCAACCCCTGTTTCTACGACACTGTGTTCACTCGAACAATTGTAATTATGTGTAAATATGTGTTTTGATAGTAAGTGACTGTTCGCAAAATATCACCTTTCCAAGTCTATCACAGAAGAAGTTATGTTAAAAAAACTGATATGATAAGTAACACTTTATCACCCTGTATATTTTAAACATACGTAATTAGAAAAAATATTTATTTATATTTTCGTCATATTTTGCTTAATCTGCTCCAAAATTTATGCCACTAAGTTTAGGGACACCTTGTATATTGAATCAACAATTTTTGTGGTTAAATGCATTCAATATTTTTTTGGATTTAAATTAATAGTTAATTTACATCCAAGAAAATATTAAATGTATTTAACCGCAAAAACTGTTAATTCAATTGTTAACATACATTTTCTCACAATGTACGAATGTGGCGCAAAAATAAATATCCAAACATGTCGATGCACCGATGGCAAAAAAAATCATGTTGTGATTTTTATGCCCAAACACCGATAGCATAAAAAATCATGTCGTGATTTTTTATGCCATCTGTGTTTGGATATTTCTTTTGCGCCACATTCGTACATTGAGAGAAAAAGTATACGGCTATTCCACGCGTAACAGATGGGACAGTTTCAAGTTTTTATTTACAACATAAAATTGTTCTATTATATTACTAATATCAAATTTTTATAAATAGTTCTAAACAAAAGCTGTTTAACAAGGTTTTTATTTATATATGTATTAGGTATCGTGGTTGACTGTTTAATTCCTTAAAAATTAATTTTTTTATTCAAAAAGACTACTAGTACTGTTTTTGAATAAAAAAAATAATTTTTAAGGAATTAAACAGACAACCACAATACCTACTTGTTCCAAATAAAAACTTTGTTAAACAACCTTTGTTTAGAATTATTTATAAAAATTTGACATTAGTAATATAATAGAACAATATTATTTTGTAAATAAAAACTGTCCCATCCGTTACGCATGGAATGGAATATCTTTTTTAATTGAACCGGTGTAATGTGAATAACAAACTAGGTTTTAAATTCGCAGTTCGCAGGGCTCATATGCATGCGCAAATTTTGCAAATATCACACCGTGAGTTCTACATGATATCACTGTGATGAAGCATGTGTATGCACTCAGGATATCACGTTGTGATATCATCATGACTTTACCAGGAAATCCCGATTGTTGTCCGGGTAATATGTCATTTTTAAACAATTAAAACTTTCTGCCAGCTTTTAATTGCTTATTTTTTTTCCTTTTAATTTTTTACTTTAATTTCGAATTATCCTGTTTAAAAAATTAATTACAATTTTTAAAAAATATTTTTTAGTGGTTTATATAATTATGTAAAACAAGTGGCGCTGCTAAGAACGGTAGGGCATTTAAAGTTTGCCTATGTTAAATTTGAAATAATCAAGATTACCCAGCATCCAGAAGACTCAACAGTAAAAATAAGATGGCAAATCAGGGGTATATCAGCATTTAGAGTTATGCTTCAGTTTTGGAAGTTCAAATTGTGGAAATATAGAGAAATGTTTGAGAAATGTGACGCGTAAGTTTTTATTTAACTTTTTCAAGGGGTTTAAACCACTTTTCACTTAATAGGCTTAAATGTCCTTAAGCAACCTAAATAAGAGAATGAGTTGTAAATAACCCCAATTAGAGTTAATTTTTGTTAATCACCTCATAACTTACTAAACTAAAATAAATACCTATCATTTATTCCATAATTTACAGGGTGTCCCGAAAATCACGCACTTATCTTGTCACGCTGTAGGAGAGGGGGTGATTTTAAGCATAGAAATGTTGTAATTTATAAATTAAATTATATTTTTGTGTTTTAATATTTGGAGATTGTTTAAAAAGTAAAAGTTTACAAACAAACAAATCAAAAGTTTAAGGATTTCCCTCTTCTGCTAATAACTGCAAAGGCTTAGAAGGGCCAACGAAATTTTTACAAGTTTTAGCCAAAATTAACTTAGATTTTGAACTTACAATTGTAACTTGAACTTAAAATTCTAACTTAAACTTACAATAATTTTAGGTACAACCTACAATTTATTATTGGCAAATGCACCATATGCCAATATAAAACAATTCACATTTTAAATCTGGCGATACAAGCGCCCTCGAAAAACCGTCAATATAACCGTTTTTGCAAATCCCTTATCTTTTCAATTTGTCGTAGGAATCGACATGCCAAAGATAATTTGATAATAAGAGACAGAATAAAAGCATAAACATTCTCTAAATGACTAAATTTCTTACAAGACCGAGTCTGCACAGGTGCCTTTTTAAGGTTCTTGGGCTTATAAATACGTTATGCTTGCCTTTAAAAAATGATAATATTTCTTTTTGCTGAAGCCCCATTTCGAAATATTGTTTTATTAGTGTGCCAACAAAATTCATTGCTAACAAACAATAAACTTACCTTTGGGTTTATCATACACTTCTAACTTGAACTTACAAATGTAACTTGAACCTACAATTGTAAGTTCAAGTTAAGTACAATTGTAAGTTTAAGTTACAATTATAGAATAGAAATTGCAAAAATCAAAGTTAGTTTTGGCTAAAACTTGTAAAAATATGTAGGCCCTTCTACGCCTTCGTAAATTACAATTATCTCTTAACATAGGTATACCATTATAACCCTTCTACATCTACAATGAGAAATGTCACTACATAAGCTAAGCTCATACAGTTATGTTGTTGGTCTCAATGAATTTGATAATTTTTTTGACATTTGTAGGATTGATTTCCTGATTGTGGTCATTTTTGGCCGGCGTTGTTTTGTCGGTTCTTGTCAGATCTGTGTATAGCTTATTACTATTATTAATGGGGCACTTTAATATACAGTCTGTTATGCTGTCGATTTGTCCACATTTACAGTATGGGTCCTTGGCGAGTCCCATCCTGTGAAGGTGGGCCCTCGTTTTCCAGTGCCCAGCTCTAAGCCTAGATATTATTGTAAAGTGCCGTTTTTTGAGGTAGCCAAATTTATTTACAAGCGGTTGTTTTGGAAAGTTCTCCGTAATTTCTTTATACCATTTACCTTTATTGCGAATCTTACTTCTAGATTGTTTTCTGTCGCAATCTTTGTCTTAAGGTTGTCTGGGCATGAGTTTTAGTGTTTCGATCGTGGTAGAATTGTGTCCTATCCTACAGCATTAGATTTAAAATCCGTTGTTAACTACTTGCAACCAAAATTCATATGGATATAAACAGAGATGGGCATGATTTAAATCATTTTGGATCTAAATCTCTAAATCCGATCCGATCCTGATTTATGATTTAGGATTTAAATCCGTTTATAAAAAATGATTTATGATTTAGGATTTAGTTACATTTTGGTACAAGATTTACGATTTAGGATCTAAATCATTTCTTTATTTCAGATTTAAATCCAAATATTAAATTTAAGTTTGATTTACTTAATGTTCGTTTTTGACAATTGTCGTTTCTAAATCTGCCAAGGTAGTTTTTTCGTTTTGGGAGTGTGTTAATGAGCGGCCAAAGTTAGCCCGGGATCCACGCTCGAGCGTAAAGGCAAAGCCTTGCTCAGCCGATCTCATTAAGCTTTGTTTTGTTTCTAATGTTAGATAATCGTCCTTTGCGCTGAGGCTTATGTTTTTGAGCTTTTGGATATAACTTAGGGAGTCGCTTAGTATAAGATTGTATTTTTCTTTTTTCGAGACGGCCAGCTTTTTTAGGCGCGTGCATCTGTACTTAGCAAATCTGCAGGTGGTCGGTAAATAAGGAACACCCTAATATATATACAGTGTTGGCCATAATTTTTGGAACCACTGAAAGAAAAAATCTAACTCTAAAACACCTTTATTATTCTTTATGAAATTTTCGATAAAAATACTTCAACTTATATCTCAGTTTACTTGTTCGAGGGCCCTTTTATTTAATAATGAAAAAACGTTAGAAAAATAACTTTTAGGGTAATTTTTTTTAAGTAAATAAATAATATGCTGTTAAAAACCGTATTTTTGTTAGTATACCCTTACAATTTTGTACAAATTAAACGAACAGTAACGAAGATACAGCGCTTCTAAGTCGGTGAAAATGGCTCCTTTTTGATTATTTTGCTGAAGAGTGGTAATTTTTGACGACTTTGAATCGCTGTATTTTCGTTGCTGTTCATTTGATTTCTAAAAAAAATTCAGGGTATACTAACAAAAATACGGTCTTAAACAGCATATTTTTTATTTACTTAAAAAAAAAATTCGCCCCTTCCCAGATGCATTGTAAGTAGATTGCCGGCGAAGGCAAGGATTCAGTTTTGTTTTGCATTTGCTAGCGTGTATTTCGAGCTTTTTAACATAAATTAATTTCTTTTATTTAAAATTATAAGTTATAATGTCCTACACATTGGAAAAAAAAATTGACATGATAAGCTGGTCTTTAGTGGGCAATTCTCTATGTCAAACAAGAGACCCATTCGCAGTTAAATATCCGGAACGCTCTATTCCTTCAATTGGAACAATAACAAACGTTATCCAAAGGTTTAAAACAAATGGTTTTATTTTGGGGTGTAAATGTCAAAGTACTCCCAGAATTGATGTAGATGCGGAAATGAAAGAAATAATGGTTTGTGCAATGGTAGAAGAAGATTCAAATACATCAATAGCTGAAGAAGTTAACAAAATATAGGACTACAGTATGATTTTAATTGACATATGCTGCTATTGCAAATGCACAAATTTTAGGAAAAAAACTCACGTTTGAACACTTTTGTACCCTAAAATAAAAATAAAAATGTCTTTCATAGCATCGTTACTGAAGTGTAAACCAACAAAAAAATTATTATAATCAGATGAGCGGTTCGCGAGGAAATCAACATTAAAATTGTTGCCAATTTCTGGTTGCCGTTTTTGCCGTTGAGTGTTTATGGAAGAATATTACTAGAAGGATTTTCTCGTTTATATTGAAATCTATTAATTTTTGGGATAATAGTATTCCCAATTTAAAGTTGTCTGTAACTTAACACAGGTTTAACTGAAGTTAAGAGATTATATATTTTTTAAATAACGTTTTTTACGCCTTTTTGCATAAAACATAACAATTATACATACACAGAATAAGTTTTAGTTTTTTAATTGTTCCACAATAGTATATTATTATACGAGAGATAATCTCGAGTGTAATACTATACTTTATTTACTCCAATAAGTAGATAATTAAATGATTTTCAAAATTAAATAAATAAAATCTGGCATCTCGGCCATTTCAAGCGCGCGAAACGCACGAATTACAAAACTGTTTTTATAAAAAAAATTGTAGATTATTTATTATATAATATTTTGGCATCAAAATTGTCAAAAATATTCTTCTTTTATTAGGTTATACATTAAATTAAAAAAAACTCAAGAAATATTTTGTGAAAGTTGATATAATTTTAATAATTGAAAGGTGTGGACGGGACAAAAAAAAGATTTATCTTGTCCCGTCCATCCCTGTCAATTATTGAAATTATCTCTTCTTTTATAAAATATTTCTTGCGATTTTTTTTATTTAATGTATACCCTAATAATAGAAGAATTTTTTTGACAATTTTGATGCAAAAATAATATATAATAAATTAGCTACAATTTTTTTTATAAAAACAGTTTTGTGATTTGTCCCGTCCATCCGCTTGAAATGGCCGATCTGGCAAATTGTTAACCTTACTTTTTACCAATTTTAAATGATCTTATAGTCGTCTTCTTCCAATTTAAAACCCGATTGGTTCAAATCACAGTGAATACTGAAATCGGCCAATCACTGATGCCTAACAACGTGAATACTGAGTTTGTTATTCACGTTGTTGGGCAGGAAATTTATAATGCTTTAAATATTGTAATTACAATATTCACGGAAAAACACCAAAATTATGCAATAGTAGGTAAATATAGATGCCAATCTGCATTATAAACGCTTTGCCATTTTTTAACTAATCTTCATTACAAACAAAGTTGGTCAAAAATAACTTTAGTTGTGTTTACTTTCATGCAGTTTTCGAGCTATCGCGTTGAGGAGTAAATGCCATAAAATATCTCACTTTTTGGTCAAACGTTACGACAATGACAGTTCATAAGTCCAAATAAACGAAAAAAAAATTAAAAGTTGACCAACTTCTTTCCCAAAACTTGGTTCTCTGGGTATACCATTTTGAAAAGGAGAAGTTTTTAGGATGTTTTTGACCTCTATTGTTCCATGTTCCATGAAATTTACCTTCTCATTTAAAGTTGCTTTTCGAGCACCGTGTAGGGCATTATCGGACATCCTTCATAGGTTAAATATTCAAAAACATATTTTGAAATTAAGTAAAATTTAGCAGAATTAAACTATTTTATTAACCATTTATTTTTATAAAATCATATTTTTTCTTAATCCTAGAAAGATAATTTACACTCTGTTACTCAAATCAGGCTAGAAATTTATAAAATTAATAAAAACATGGTCCTATTTTAGATGGTATGATGGATTTTCGACGTTTCATGTTAATTCAGAGGGACAAGTAGTAAAACACGTTGCTGATAAGGTGATAAATTGTTAGAAATAAGTTATTTTAACAAAATATATAAAATATATTTTTTAGATGATGCCAGATTCGGATAGAGATGTTAGAGAACCGGAAAGAAACCCAGTCATTGATGCGTCAAAACTTGCATTAATTGTAGGAATAATTCCGAAAGTTTCATTTTAAGCACAAACGCATTTTAACTTAAATAATGTTTATTATAATTGTAAATATAATTTGTAATTGTAGTACAACCTCTTGACTTTTACACTGATATATTCTATTAAAAGTTGCTGATGTCTATTTATTAAAATATTTGTTATTAAATATTTATGGATATTTGAATTGTTTGAATTGGTTTAAATTAAAGTAAAGCTTTAGATTAAAAAGTAAGGAGATAGAGACCTTTATAAAAGCCAAAAATACAAGATTTATTTTTAAAATTTATATTTCTACATTTGCTATATTTACAAAATAACATATTTTGGACTTACTGGTGCTCCAAATCATATTCAAGCTTTGATAATTTTCCATTAACTTTAAAAACTGAATTTGCTTCTAAATAAGTTACTCCTGATGCTATCAATGCTTGTCCAACAAAAATTGCAAATAAAATATTTTGGATTGGTTTTACTTTAGCTTTTACAAATTTTAGAATTTCCAAAGGCTCTTTTGCCAAAGAGGGTAAATTAGCAGTTCCATATTTGTTTGCCAACTATAATAAAAATATTACCAAAGTTTTAACAAAATGTACTGTTGAAAATTGGTCTTATTATTTTTTTAAAAATTTATTACTTAAAAATATTTACCATTAAGTTTGTGACCGGAGCTGCTAAAAAGGGAAATACAAAGCCTGTTAGAGATTGTAAAGCTGATGATCTTAATTCCAAACACACTGGACAAACTTGCTTTTGTAATACTAAATCTTTTAAAACCAACTGTAAAATGTAAAAATTATTGTTAAACCCCAAATCAATAATTAAAAAGATATACCTCAGTGTGTAGAAGAAATGATAATGCTCCTGGTATCACACAAATAGGTAAATATGAAGAAGCCCTTCCATAATACAAAAGTTTAAATTTATAACGATAGTAGTTATTTATGTACATTCCTGATAAAACAGTGGAACTCACAAGTATGGCACTTCCATATCTAAACCAGAACCTACAATTTTATAACAAAATTTAGAAATGTATATGTATGTATGTATATTATATTAAGAATCTCACGTATCAGATTTATGCTTCCAATTTTTTAATATTTTTAATTCATACTCCAAAGCTTGTTGTTCAGTTAAAATAATAGCATCCGTAGGTATTTCACTTTGTTTTCCTTTTAAAAGTGCCATCGTCTCATGTCTATTTTAATTTTTTATTCAAAATCAATTTTTTCTTTAGGTTAAGATTGACAGTAAATTTGTGGGTTAAAAGGCGGTGTTGCCATGTGAAGTTCGCATTGTGAACAAGAGACCTCTGATCAGAGGAACGCCTAAATGCAGGAATGGGCTCCATCTGAATATAAATTTTGCGTAAAATAAAACCAAATCAAACCAAACCAACCCAACCCCCCGTAACCGCCCTATTGAAGCCTAACCACCCTATTGAAGACGATTATTCCATCGGTAACAAAGTTCGAGATAAAGGGCAATGCACGATGGAATAATCGTCTTCAATAGGGTGGTTAGGCTTCAATAGGGCGGTTACGGGGGGTTGGGTTGGTTGGGTTTGGTTTGGTTTGTTTTATTTTACGCAAAAATTATATTAAGATGGAGCCCATTCCTGCATTTAGGCGTTCCTCTGATCAGGGTTGCCTTTTCTACTACTTTTGTTTGTATTCGTCTTTGTATTCGACTCAGATAATAAATCATGATACGACTACCCTACCAAAGATAATCTTAATATCTTTGTACCCTGCTACTAAAGTCTGATTTATGGATTGTCTTCCTTCCTCCCGTAAAAGATGAACAATACGAAAACCGTAGTGCCGTTTATAGATTTTCGTACGGGATTGTATTGTTCTTCTACGGGAGGAAGGAAGGAAGAAAGGAAGGCAATCTATAAATCAGGTTTAATTAATTAAAATCTACTTATTTGAGGACACTAGGAGCAGGGTTGCCAGACGTCCCGATTTTTATCGATGTGTCCCGATTTGTCCCCCATAGCACAAGAGGTACCCAGGACCAAAATGGATTGTGCCCAGGACGTCCATTTCGGGTCCCACATAGGTCCGAACGTCACAGACCTATATCGGAAGTTTTGGGTACCTACGTCCAGTCTCTTACTTATTTGGGAAAATTAAAGCGGATTTACTCGGTACGTCCCAAGGACGTAATTTTTGTTTTTTTTTAGAAATAAAAGCATGATATTTCCAAAGGGTGTAAGTGTCAAGTTGGCTAAATAATATATTATCATTTAAAAATAGTTTGTGTCATGCAGAATGGCTTAAAAAATATTCCAACATTTATATGTTCAAAATATTTGTTTTTCATTGATAACTCACAATTTTATTTTTATCACTTAGACCCTTTGGGAATACCACTCTTCAATTCTGTAGAGCTTGTCCAATAATCCCCAATAAAGAATTTCAGGACGGCTAAATGCCACTGCAGTGGCGGCTCCTCTTACTGCGCACGATCGCTTAATTTGTCGACAAATGTGCCGCGATTGAAAATGTTAAAGGCACGTTAGTTACGTTATAATTATAATCCGTAGATAGCTCAGATATAGGGCGGTCGCTTGGCATGCGAGAGGTCCCGGGTTGCTGTCGAACTTTTTTTATTTCATAAATTTGTTGTTTCTTTGTTAAACAGTGTTCGGTTGGGTTGGGTTGGTTGGTTTGTTTTAGTTTTATCTTAACATAAAATCTACTAGAAGTTGTCGAACTTTTTTATTTCATAAATTTGTTGTTCCTTTATGAGGCGCCGTTTGTGTCAAAATTAAAAGTGCTAAATAAACTTATTTTGTTTTATAAATAATTAATTATATACTTTATAAAATTATTATTATTTTTGATTCGAAGAAAATTATTTTATAAAAAAATAATTTTATAAAAAAAAATTATTTTATAAAGAAATAATTTAAAAAAAAAATTATTTTATAAAAAAAAGTTATTTTATAAAAAAATTATTTTATAAAGAAATAATTTTATAAAAAAAAATTATTTTATAAAAAAAAAATTATTTTATAAAAAAAAAATTATTTTATAAAAAAATAATTTTATAAAAAAAAATTATTTTATAAAAAAAAATAATTTATAAAAAAAAATTATTTTATAAAAAAATAATTTTATAAAAAAAAAATATTTTATAAAAGACGACGGGCGCATTTATAAATTAATTTTTACAGCAGCCATCTCTCTTTGTTTGTAGACACTCGAGTAAACCCGAGTGAACCCGAACGCCCTTCCCCAGGCTTTTGTTTGACGCAATTTGGGGAAACGATTGAAAATAATAATTTATTATTTTTATTAATTGATTAATTAATTTTTTCATCTACATTTATTTTGATTTTTAGTTTTTAACAAGAATTCTTTATGTTTAAACATTTTTTTATAAGAAAGGACTTTTAGTTAAATGCACATTCTCGTCCCAGCCGTCGAGTGAATAAGTCGACGCAGCAGAGGCAGAGTAAACGTAAAACGTATAACGATAAAACCATAACCAACAAATAAACCTTCATAGTGCAAACTACTATAGTGTAAAAAAAATACTGTGAGTACAGTAGGCCCAAGTAACACGACGTGACGGCATTCTACTAGATTTCACGAAATCGTCACGCTCGTTCTTTATAAAGTACATTTTTATATAAATACGTTATCAAAATGAAGGTGACGCCTGCGTCACTTCTAAATTTTTGACGGAACCGTGAAGATTTTTCGTTATAAAGTAACTTTTTAAATAGATACTTCATAGAAAATTTGTGACGTTTGCAGTGCACTTTATTCGTGACGTTCTCGTGTTTTTAGGAACGAGATCTCTCGAGAGAGGGCGTTCTATAACCTTCTTTATCTCTGTCAGATTCTCTGGTCAGCCATTTTCATTGTCGTTGTTTTGTAGAGACGCTGCCCCACATACGTGCTGCGTTTTTGTTGTTTTTATTGTTATCATTTGTTCTTATTCAATGGTTTATAGATAAGGTGAGTTTAATTTAAATTGTTTTAATTACTTTGGCTTGCAATTTTGCTAAAATTCCTATTAGTTCAGTAATTGTATTCTTTTCGGTAGGTATATATTTGTTGCAATATATTGATGACGTTGTTTTCAATAATTTATATACCGTACCTTCATTTGCAAGCTATACATAGGGAAAATACATTGTAGGTGGAACAGTCAAAGTCGCGCCGGTCAGCGCGAAACGAAAATGTTCCCAGAAATTATTTTGACGAGTGGATGAGTAGACATGCGACGTAACAGGTGACTTTGTTTACTGGTTTAGTTTTTGTGTCTGTGGTGATTATTCTATACATAGAATATTTTTGTATACCCACAAAAATGGGTCTTTGAACTTTAGTACATCTACGTATGTAATTAAATGTACATTTTTTATTAATAAATAATTAATAATTAATTAATAAATGTGTATTATTTAGCAAAGGAAAATAATTTATGTAGGTAATTTGGTTATTATTATTTACTGTAAATGCATACTTATATTAGATTTAATCGGTTATTGACCATGGTGGGTCAATAATGAAAGCTAAATTTCTGTAAAAAAAACTTTAAAGAAATTTAGCTTTCATTATTGAGCGACCATGGACAGGAAGTGATTAAATTTAATAAGTATGCATTGACAGTAAATAATAATCGTCACTAATTCGTCACAAAACTGCAAAGCAGATTCTACCACGGATTTAGTGTTAAATTCGTCACATTATTGTAATAAAAAACATAAAGAAATTGTCACGACTTGTAGGCACGCCTTCGTGAAGATTTCGGGGGTTAAAATTAGTGCGGTTTGGCCACTGTATCAGTCACAGAATCTATAAATTTTCGGGATCACGTTGAGCTCACGACAAGTAGAAATCGTAACAAATTTTGCAACGATTTCTTCACGAGGTGTTACTTGGGGGGTGATTCAAAAAAAGCCTTTTTTTAAAAATGAACCCGCACTGGCCTAAATTATAAAGATTACATTAAAACTAAAAGATTGATACCAAAAAATCCAAATTCGATGAATATTTAGAGGTCGCTCAAATCGATTTTCGTATTTTTGCACATTCGAGCCGCGAAATTATTACTGCGCAAAATAGTAAATAACTCCGTTACTTTTTAATCGATATTATTAAAAATTTAAGGGTTACCTAGTTGTTTAATACCCTCTGACACAGTGTATTGAACTTTGCGGAAAAAAATTTTTTTTTCATGAAAAAAAATTATTTGTTAATAAAAACGTATCATCTTATAAAATAAGCAACACTTGGAATCGCACTATGATGGTACAGTAAAAAAACTAAGAAAATAACACTTAAACTATTTAGCATACATAAAACCTGCCGAAAGAAATATTTATTTGATTTATATAAAATATAACCTAAAAATAATTAAGTAATTTAGATTTTTCCCATTTTCAAACGATTTTATAAATAATTTATATCCGTTTTATTAATTATGACGTATTTTTATAATATTTCTTTATTTTTGATACCATATTTAATTAATTACACTAGGTAGTTATTAATTTATGTCCTTTTTATAATTAAAATAAAAAAAATCCACTGCTCTAGTATGCATGCATGGCCAATGGCTAAGTTATTAAATTTTTTTCCATTTTCATACGATTTTATAAATAATTTATATCCGTTTTATTAATTATGACGTATTTTTATAAAATTTCTTTATTTTTGATACCATATTTAATTAATTACACTAAGTAGTTATTAATTTATGTCCTTTTTATAATTAAAATAAAAAAAATCCACTGCTCTAGTATGCATGCATGGCCATTGGCCATGGCTAAAGCAGAATTTAAACTGCATTACCACACGTCGCGACGCGACGATTTAGCTTACATAAAAATACCCCTACCTACCTATCTATATCTATTTCAACAATAAATTAAAAATAAAAAACATATAATATTTCATAGGTCCCACTTATTTATTAAATAAAAATTAATAATTATACAACATTATACATTATAAATGTTTCCATACGCTTGGTGTTTTTGAGTTATGTCACTTTTTTTCTTTAAAAAAACAGTGTATACTATAGTATTAACATTTGTTATTTGTTTTCTTGTAATTGTTTTAAAAATGTAATTTTATTTGCATCTTGAAAATTTTGACGATGAGCTTTTACTCCTAAAAGAATATTTTGCTTTTCTTGCTCATTTTTTGTGTGCAAAGAATTGTATTCTTGAATAAGCGCAACACCCCGTTCGGCTACGTCATTGACTACTTTTAGATTTCTGCAAATTT